TGGCTGGGGTAGGCTACACCCATACCACGAAATGGCTTAGCCCCAACATGAAAAATTATGTTAAAGTAAGCAAAATAAAGTCCGCCAACTCGCGCCGAGAATTGCAGAGACGGCAGTTAGTAAGATTGATTTCAGTAGCCACTTGTCTGGAAATACCAAAGACCAGAAACGGTTTTGAAAACTTTTGTCACGTAGTGATCGTCTTCTCAATAGAACATCTTTGATAATGTCTTCTGGCCAATCAGAATCAAGATAACGGCGTGGTGTTGTTGCAGGAAGTCCCGACGGAGAATACTTTTGCTGTAGTACAGGGGTGCACATAACTGGTACGCAGGTTATGTGCGTAATCTGAAATGCGTACCGTCACTTGTGTCACAAAGCGCATTTGCGTACCGACGTACTTGTGAAGCTTTTCCAGAAGGCGGTTAGATCATCGGACGACAGAGTCGGTCTCCGTGTGCACAGACAGGGCTGCTGTTAACGTCGGTCTGTACAACGGAATTGTGCCAAAACTACGCCAACCGGCTGCGGAGGGAGATTCCCCCCCCTTCATTGGAGAACTGCGCTAAAACAGCTGATCACAACGTTCACACTGTGGTCACGAAGTATTCCACTAGCCGCCCGCCCCCCGCCCGCCCGTCGACTTTCCTGAAGTACCCCCCGTTGATAGAAATCAACACGTAATGAAGTCAGACCCCACGGTTTGATGATTGATAGGTGTGTGGGCTGTCTTTCATTTTGACACACAGAAAAATGTTAAATGGATATATCCGCCTTCTTTCATTTATCTTTCCATTCCCACATTTTGGACATAGTTCGAATGGTGATGAATCATGATTAATTCATTGTTAAGCTGTGATTAATCTGATTAAAAATTGTAATCGTTTGACAATGTGTTTTTGTATTGGGACAATGTTTTTAAATTGATGTAGAGAACCACCCACACAGAAGTCCACTATGTGCACAAAGCATTAGACTGCATTCCATTGGGTTACACTTTATTTTTATGTTTTGAATGTATTTGTTTATTGGAGACATAGTAGTATCAATAATATGTGTAACTTACCAACCAGTAAGACGGCACAATTAGCAAAAAATAAATTGATTGCACCACATAAAAATGATTGCAGTTATTTTTGTATGGATATTGCATTTGCAGTATGATCTGCGATATTAGAGAGAATTACCCTTTTTTAAACATTTCTCCCATTATAATTGAAAAATGTATTTAAACTTAGTTAAAAGACGACGGTGTGATTTTTTAAGATCATCTGTACTAAACAAGCATTTTTCATTAAGTCTGTAGAATACTGTTTGTTGACCAGGACTTCTCTGCAGTACCACAATACTTTATTCAGAATGTTTTTCTTACATATCAAGCCTTAACTGGATGCTGCACAAGGCCATATTGTAATTTCAATGAAATGTGGACTCATTGTGCAGCCCTACCAACCATTAGTTTACTGATTCACCCTTTGGCAGTATCTCATTAAGACAATTTACTCACTCTGACTGAGGCGTCCAAGTCTCATACCAGCTCTGCTGCCGCACTAAGAGGAAGGCCAGCACCTGGAACAGCAGGCAGGTGATGATCTGGGTCAGCACCGAGAACAACAGGGGACCGGAGATCAGACTGGAGGGGGGGCGCCGCCACACCAGCTCCTTCCACGCTGGGTTCAGACTCACTGGAGACAGGGGAGTGTCAATTATTCGTTTTGATTGCTAAGGATTTATGAAAGTGTTAATGTGCTGGTCTTCATGCTGCTCACTTGTGAAGGCGATGATGAGGATGATGGCGATGTCAATGAAGAGGAACTGGAAGTCTCCCAAGTTGCTGAGAATCTACGATACCAGAAGGATGAAGATGAATTAAGTTACACAGCAGAAGAAAAGTTGATCTACAGAATCTAAACTGTTCTAACAGATTTATACGAGGTTTCTTTCTTCATTCACACATGCGGCCTCCCCTAGATAGGACATACATTTCACTGGTACCAATTTATGTTTTGTAATTCATTGGCTTTAACTATCCTTATTGTTAAGAGCAGTATTTTGTCGCTTACAGTACCGTAATTTTCGGACTATAAACCGCGCCTTTTTCCCTATTTTTCGACGCTGCGGCTTATATAACGGTGCGGCTAATCTATGGATTTTTACAGCTAACGGCCAACACCTTTAACTCTATGGGCTCTATGGCCGGTCCGCGGACCCCCACCTTTAAGCGTCGGGTTCCAGCAGGAAAAGCTGGAGGCCGGAAAAGAGTGAGACAGGTAACGCGCAAAAGTAAAAGTGGAACCGAGAGTGGTATGCCGCTGCTGCGGCTTATATTCAGGTGCGCCTTATAGTCCGAAAATTACGGTACTTCTAATTATAACTTAACGCTAAGGTCAGATCCTTTTTATCATCCTCTTGTTGAAAAGACCTTTGTCTTGGCTCCTTGTGATCTGATTCTCCTATGATGTATCTGTTCTGTCATTTCTTCACCTTTCAAAAATGTTACATTTTCTTATCTTAAAACCAATTGTCTATGTTATCGGTAATGCTATTTACTATGCTATCTATTTTTCTTTGGATTGTATCTAGTCCGTTGGAATAATTTTTGTTTGTTTTCCATTTGTTTGATGAGTCATTTTTTTCTGACACCCTTAAAAAGTGTATGACAGATTTCATGGGGTTTATCATGAGATACTAACATTTCTGACTCACTGACTTCTGCTTTAATGTAGGTCAATATGTGGTCAAGTGTATTTTGTGATCACACTCTCCCTCATCCTGCCCATGAACCCTCTGTATATCATGTAAGAGTCACATTTGTAGAAGAAGTGAAATACTTTGCATTGTTAATGTATGAGAGACAGTGTGTGTTTACCGAGTAGAGCAGTGTGACACTGAGGTACTGGATGATGCTGTAGAGCGCCATGAACTTGAACACACAGAATGATGTAATGAGGGCAGCTCGACCCTCCCTGAGGAAGCAGAGAAGGAGACAGTCAGATAGCTTGATAGAAATCCTTTCAAGGGTTATTCACGGTGAGTATCCTTAACACCCCTGGTGGTTACAGACAGGTGTGTTTAACTATTTGTAACAGATATGTTGGTACTATCATGATGTGTCAAATTATGTAGCATAGATGATACTCCATCAGCGGTGAGTTGGCACCTGATTAGGTTGGGGACGCAGGAGATGTTGGCGGTGGAGGAGGTGAAGGGTGAAGCAACAGAAGCCTCCAGCTCAGACAGAGAGATCCCACAGTGAGCTCTCTTCAAAGCCTGACACAAACATATTAACAAAAAGAAGAACAACATTGTCTTTTCTTTCAAAAGACCAACTTCACCCACGGAACAACCATTTGTATATTTATTACAAGGACCGGACTAGCTTCAGTTCCTGAAGAAAACTTTGTTGTTCTAGCATACGTCCTCCACTGTGAACAAAGAATCCAAAAACGGAGAAAACTTTTGATGAAGTGAAGTAACTCTCTTGGTTTTTTGATTCGTTGTTCACCGTGGAATCTTTCTCAAATTCAAATTAAGTAAATGATATTCAAATGGTAACTTTGGGGATGAATTATTCCTTTAATTTTTGTACTGTTGACTTTTTTCAAATGGAAATATTATTTCTTTCAATTTGAGCACTTCCAAATTGTGTTTCTTAGAGCCATTCAGCCATGAGGGCTGGTTTACAGAGGTTGCATCAATCTAGTAGGAGATGGGACAAAGTATATGATGTTTTGATGCGAATATAACAAATAAAGATAATTCGAACTCACTCCACAGTCATTCGCACCATCACCACACATCCCAACCGTGTAGCTGGAAGGAAAACAGTGAGTGAAGGTATTACAACGTGCCTTTGGTGATGAATCGATATTATCACATCATCTCCAACCAATTTAAAGAAAGGGGGACTCACTCGATGCTCTGCAGGACCTCCACCAGCTGAGTCTTCTGGTCTGGAGCCATGCGGGCAAACACTGTGGCTCTCAGAGCAAGCTGCAGCACCCCCGTGTGGAGACAAAAAGAATTACAGCAACATGATGCAGGTGTAGTAAAACCTAAAAAACGAATACTTTTTATCCGTGAAATAAAGCCTTACAGCTGATGAAACAATCACTCTTCATTTGAAATGAAATGTCTTTAGGTGTGGATCAAATAAATTAAAAAAGTGTTATCAATCGCATCCATTTCCTTTTTAAATAAAATGTAAAATAATGGTAATTTAAATTTAGTTTAATAAAGAACTGTTCATTCATAATTTAAATGTATTCATACTAAAAGTTTCAACGCATGGGATTTAAATGCAATGTATCTTTGAGTATTAAAATACTTATATTGTATTTAATTTGTTTGTAATTATTACTTTATATCAGAATAAACTCATCATTTCAGTTAATATTACTCTTTTTGTGGACATTTCATTCCAGTTTTATATTGACAGTTAAATTGTATGTAATTGCCGTTAACTGATTTTGTTAATCAGTATTAGTTTTATTTTATAATATATACGTCTGGAGATGGTCCTGTACCTTCTGCAGGAGCTGAGGGAAGTGCTCGGTGATGACAGCGAAGGCTCTGCCGGTCACAGCAAAGTGATAGCTCTGTTCCTGCCGTGCATACACCCCTTCCTCCAGGTTTATCTCCACAGACTGAAGGAGAGAAAGAGTCAGTATCACCGTAACACCAGAAAACTACTCAACTGTAATCATCATGCATATCTTTGGGAGATTTACTCAGACACCTTTCAGGGTGTTTTCTGGCACATACATGCATGTTGGGCTATCATAAGTGTGTAAATGCAGGTAACAGCCTCTGTCAAAATGCTTTCAGTGGCACTGGTTTCATTCAACTCTGCAGTGCTTATCACTTCAGCTTTTTCAAAATGATATTTGAAAACATAACTGCAAAGATATGCCAGAACATGCAGGTCAACATTGTCGTCATAGGAGAGCATACGTCCAACTACTTTACCCCAGTGTTTCATTCCCTCAGTTTTATTTAGTGGCAATCACCAGTAGTATAGATGTTTATTTAACTTGCTTTGATTTAAGTCAGGTAAACGTACATTTAACATGTAATGTGTCATTTCTAGTTTTAGGCCAAGGCTGTTGTGATTTTTTATTCCGTGCACGAACTAAAGAGCAAGTGCACTTGCGTCTTTCTGTGCGCCAATGGGCAAATTGACTTTAAAAGGAGGTGTAGTCAGGCTCATTTTTATCTTGAGGCAGCAGAAAGGGATAGTGCCATCTACTGACAAAACAACACAGTCATTTCCCAGCACAACATTCAGATAGTGAGACCGCCTTATCATATGGAGGTTCACAATCACTCCGCTTGCTACACACAGGTACATACCTGACTGCAACAATTGGTTGTGAAAATGTGTTTTTGACTTATGTTTAGGAAAACCCAATATTCAGGGAAGTAGTTGCAAATTAGAAATGTATAGAAAAAACACATCAAGAGACGCAGACGCGTTCAGCAACGGTGGCCGACAGATGCAAACATGTTGCAACGGCCTGAAACACTTCCGTTGGGAGAAACCAATGCAGTTTGAAAAACGATGCAAATAAAAAACACAAATGTGCCAAAACACATGCAAATGAAGAAACAACTCCACCAACTTGACAAACATGCGCAACATTTAGAAAACATTCACCAACTTGAGGAAATGTTTTTTTTTTAAAGAGCAGCGCGTTTCTCCTAATGGAGGTGTTTTGGGTTGGTGTAGTGTAGCGTGTCTGCACCTGTCGGTCACCGTACTCAGCAGCAACTCACTAAATGCACCTGCGCCATGCACTTTAGACCATGCCCTATAGGTCGTTTAAAAAGGGCCCTTAAAGTGTCAAGTGTGATAGATTATTTTGATATTCATTACTCAGTGCCTCACCTGATTGTCCTTGGTCTGTACGGGGTTTTCTGTGTAATGCCATGTGATACTAGCAGGGTGGAAATCCTTCGGAGGAGCAGCTTCTGCAATGATGACTCTCTCATGAGCACGGATCATGCCACAGTCCCGAGCCACTGATATAGCCGTCAGCATGTTGTCACCTACCACAGGATAAAAGAGAGAATTTACTGATGTTGTTGAAATTCATGATTATTGTCTTTACATATTAGGTGGCAATGCAAGGTGAATAAGTGAAGTCTCTGAATTAATTTACCCGTGACCATCAAAGTGCGGATGTTAGCTTGGCGTAATTCCCGTAAAACACCGGCAGTCTCCTCTTTTATTTTGTTCTGCATGATGATCAAACCGAGGAACTCCATGTTGGTTTCTAACAGGTCCCTAAAAGCACATGTATCACAAATGTTATCATCATCATATCCGTATCATATTTCAAGTCACTTTAAAGAGTCAAAGTGTAAAATAAAAAGTATATCCAACCAATTCAATTTGTACTTTAGTTAATTATTTCCTGCATGCATCAGAATAATGTAACATCCACAAACAGAAAGGAATGTGTCAACTTATCATGTGGGCCTGTACATCTAGCAAGATAATCACATTCCATGATTGCAGCTACGCCTTTACGTCAGCTGGCACCATATCTTGTGGCTGTTTCTTAGTACTATAAGTTATCATTATCATATAACAACAAAGACTATAACACTCCTGTTACTACACACATTTACCGTAAATAGCTGTGCAATATATACTTCCACCTTTCTGCTATATCGCTACACTGTTACTGGTACTGGATGTGTATTTTGTAAATTGTGACATTTCTCGTTTTATCTTTTCATATTTGTATGCATGCTTCTTGAGTGATATTAAGCTATCTTATGCTCTTTACAAATATAAATGTCACCTCTGTGGGACAAATATAGGTATTTTGATTCTGATGCTACAGTCGGTGGAAATGTTTTATTATTTTACAAAAGCTTCTTCTTCTTAGGATATCTCTCAGCCGGTTGCCAGGAGTACGAAGCTGTGGCTTTTGGCAACAGCTTGCAGGTTCATTCTGAGATAACTGCAATCAAAACTTGACATTCGCTCTTGTTTTTTCCATATCTTGAACATGTTGTAATCTTCTGCAGCAGCCTTTAATATTTGGACATGTTATTTGTTCTGGTTGTTCAGTTATCAGAGGAGCTCAGACACAAAAATCACAAGTACAACGTGCAGTATTTGAGAGAAGATTTGTAACGGTTACAGTGTTTTGGGCACTGTCAGTAGCTACATACACAGTGTTATCGGCGGAGGGAGGAGTACCTGCTGAGGCTCTGCACTTTGTGCCAGGAGAGTTTGGACTCCAGCTGTCGATGAGCCAGGGCAATGACCCTGAAGCCCTGCTTGGTGTACGTCTCCAGAGTCTCTGTGAAGCTCTGTGGAACTGCAGAGACGGGCAGAGGCATGTTAGTCTGGGCCTTTGGATGAGTTTAGTATTTGTTTTCAGGCAAACCTTTGTATAAAAAGAATTCTACACTCATGATAAAAGGACACTGAAAGATCTGTATGTATTTATCGCTGAATATTATTTAGTTTTTTTTCATATACAGTGGGGCAAAAAAGTATTTAGTCAGCCATCAATTGTACAAGTTCTCCCACTTAAAAAGATGAGAGAGGCCTGTAATTTTCATCCTAGGTATACCTCAACTATGAGAGACAAAATGAGAAAAAAAAAAAAAATCCAGAAAATCACATCGTCTGATTTTGAAAGAATTTATTTGCAAATTATGGTGGAAAATAAGTATTTGGTCACCTACAAACAAACAAGATTTATAGCTCTCACAGGCCTGTAACTTCTTCTTTAAGAGCCTCCTCTGTCCTCCACTTGTTAACTGTATTAATGGCACCTGTTTGAACTCGTTATCAGTATAAAAGACACCTGTCCACAACCTCAAACAGTCACACTCCAAACTCCACTATGGCCAAGACCAAAGAGCTGTCAAAGGACACCAGAAACAAAATTGTAGACCTGCACCAGGCTGGGAAGACTGAATCTGCAATAGGTAAGCAGCTTGGTGTGAAGAAATCAACTGTGGGAGCAATTATTAGAAAATGGAAGACATACAAGACCATGATAATCTCCCTCGATCTGGGGCTCCACGCCAGATCTCACCCCGCGGGGTCAGTTAAGTAACAAAGGCTACCATCAGTAACACACTACGCTGCCAGGGACTCAAATCCTGCTTAAGCCATTACATGTCCAGGCCCGTCTGAAGTTTGCTAGAGAGCATTTAGATGATCCAGAAGAGGATTGGGAGAATGTCATATGGTCAGATGAAACCAAAATAGAACTTTTCTCAACTAGACGTGTTTGGAGGAGAAAGAATGCTGAGTTGCATCCAAAGAACACCTACTGTGAAACATGGGGGTGGAAACATCATGCTTTGGGGCTGTTTTTCTGCAAAGGGACCAGGACGACTGATCCGTGTAAAGGAAAGAATGAATGGGGCCATGTATCGTGAGATTTTGAGTGACAACCTCCTTCCATCAGCAAGGGCATTGAAGATGAAACGTGGCTGGGTCTTTAAGCATGACAATGATCCCAAACACACCGCCCGGGCAATGAAGGAGTGGCTTCGTAAGAAGCATTTCAAGGTCCTGGAGTGGCCTAGCCAGTCTCCAGATCTCAACCCCATAGAAAATCTTTGGAGGGAGTTGAAAGTCCGTGTTGCCCAGCAACAGCCCCAAAACATAACTGCTCTAGAGGAGATCTGCATGGAGGAATGGGCCAAAATACCAGCAACAGTGTGTGAAAACCTTGTGAAGACTTACAGAAAACGTTTGACCTCTGTCATTGCCAACAAAGGGTATATAACAAAGTATTGAGATGAACTTTTGTTATTGACCAAATACTTATTTTCCACCATAATTTGCAAATAAATTCTTTAAAAATCAGACAATGTGATTTTCTGGATTTTTTTTTCTCATTTTGTCTCTCATAGTTGAGGTATACCTCGGATGAAAATTACAGGCCTCTCATCTTTTTAAGTGGGAGAACTTGCACAATTGGTGGCTGACTAAATACTTTTTTGCTCCACTGTATGTAATAAAAGCCAGTAATGAATCAATGAATGCCACATTTCAAAACCAAAACAGTATGCAACTGGTACGTTGTTATCAGGCAGAAAATGAGGTGCTTCGTTGGAAATGAAGGGAGGAGATATTACCCACCCAAGCCTTTAACATACAGAAGAGTCAGACCTGTGTGCTGTTTGCAGAGGCTGGCCACAACCTCCGGTGCTCCTTTCAGGTAAGCATCCATGTGTTTCTCCCCCAGCCGCCTTACCACCACACTCATCCTCTGCAGGGTGGAGGAGAACGGGAACTGACGCACGATACCGATCTCACAGGACTAAGGAGCAGAAAACATGTTGCATACATGTTAGTGGTGGAAATAAAACAACAACTTCCAATCTGTTTTTATTTCATGTGATAAACCAAGTGGATAACAAGACAGTTCTTCCTCGTTTGTATGCTATCTATGAAGCAGCCAAGAGATGGTTAGCGTGGCTTAGGATAACGTTTGTAAACAAGTGGAAACAGCTATCTGATCTCTTAACAATAACCCATTTGTCCCCCGGCACCTGGAGTCATGCAAAGACAGCAAGTCATTGCTCATGGCAAGCTGTTTCCCCATTTTCGATCTTTACGCTAAGCAAAGCTAAGCTAACTGACTGGTTGGAGTAGCTTTATAACAAGCGTACAAACATGAAAGTTGTATCAATCTTCTCATTTAACTCTAAGCAATAAAGTGAATAAGGGTATTGTTGAACAATTATGTAACATTTTATATCATATGTATGTATTACATTTTTTAGACTACTGATTTTCAGACCAATTCAGACAGTTTAGTTTAGTTTTTACAATTCAGATTTTATTCAAATTAAACAAACATGATGTGCGGGCTGAGCTGTGAGCTTAAGAGGGGCTGGTATGCAGACTCAGATACCTTTGGACAGAGCCAGGCTGTTTCCCCCTGATTCCAGTCTTTATGCTAAGCTAGCCAGCAGCAGGCAGTAGCGTTATATTAGCATACAAACATGAGTGGTATTAATCTTTTAACTCTGGGCAAGAAAATGTATATGGGGAATTAACAAATATCTACTCATCAAATATTGAACAATTTATATTATGTATGAATAAAAAAGGACAACTTACTGGTAACTGATTCAGCTCCTAGGGGAAAAAAGCAAGGGTTTAATGACAATATAATTCTGAGACCAGGCTCTAACTAATGATAAAACAGTGATATGGACCAGCGTCACTGTACCATGTTCTGAGTGAGAGGATTGTTCTGATTGGCTTCAGGGATGGATTGATTTGGAGGTCGCACGACTGTGGGCATTATGGGATTGTGGAGTGTAGTCTCTTCGTCTGTGGGCTCCTCTAGGATCTAAATAAAATCATAAATTAATAACATTTAGATTCCATTACACTTTGTCCAGCATGACGCAAAACAATCATCCACAGTCGCAGTTTCTTATTCAGAGGCAGAGACATTTTCTGCTGTTCATAATGGAGTTTCCATGGTACCAGACTTTAAGCATTTTTAGCCAAGAAGACCTTGCTCTGCCAAAGTGACAAAGCGTGGTGTTGCATAATTCATGAACAGATCCGAGCTAGTTGTGGTGCCAGTGACTGAGCACGTTGGGTGTAAACATGGAGAATCTTGGATTACCCAGCCTGTGGCGCTGAACATCTTCAGGTCTAAAGGGTCTCCGGAGAGCTCGCCCTCTATCTTGGTCAGTGAGTGGCAGGTAGCCATGCAGGCCACAAACGCAGAGTTAACCAGACTGTCTTCAGCTGCATCAGCCTCTGGGGGAGAAAAGCTGTGATGGAGAGGGGGGGGAAAGATAAATACTGTATTACGTAACTGATTCTGAATGAATTAACAGGCAATATACTATTCTTTTTTTCCTGAAATCAAAACATCCAGTGAGAAATGTTAAAGACAACTTCAGAGAAAATCTCCATCCGTTTATATACTTATATTAACAGAAGTGTCGACCTTTACTACTTTGGCCTGCAAATAATGTGTCAGAACACGTTATTAGCTAATCATATCGGTCCTGACTTTTCTATCTGTTTTGTGGTTACTCAGGAAACAGATACAGATGGGGATCTCATACCTGCCGTCTTCAACCGTCTGCACACCCCACAGGTCCAAACCATCTTCAGTCAGAGTACCAGTCTGAAGGAAAACAAGTACACACAGTTAACAGCACACCAACCCAGGCCGCACTATCCACCCCTCAGAGCAGAACATCTATTCTTAACCGAGGTACAGAAATATATTTCGTCCTATATTTAATTCATTAAAGTAAAACCATTCAGTGAACTTTTGTTACCATTTCTTTAATCAAGGACTGACCTGTTGATACAACACGCACACACTCATTCTGAGAATTGTGGAAATAAAAGCTGTTATATGTCATTTTCTGCTAAAAGGGGTCTCTCAATCAAAACAATAAAAAAAATTTGATACTTGAAGGAATTGTGTAGGACCATGGGAGTTGTTATCTTTCCACCATTGGTACCGTTGCAGTCCACTTCTCCCAGATGATATTTCTCTATTTATCATCCTTTAAGAGATTTTTATTGGAAGCCGAAATGTTCACAAAGGTCTCTTCACTTCAAAAAATGTATCATGTTCAGGTTCTTATCAGTATGTAGTGTCTCTACTGTGACATGTCTCCATGCTTTAATGTTCAGAAAGCTCTTTATCGTTCTCATACTGCCTGTGCTGCAGCACCTCTTTTCACCCTCTGTCTGAAACCAGAGTCTACTCTGATTGGTTAGCTGGCCGACTCTTTTGTGGTTGGGCAACTGCTTAGAGATGTCCCGCCCCTTAGCCTATCACGTACAATGTGTTGGAACGCTAGCCAATAGAAGCGTGAGTTTTACATAGTGGTGCCATTATGTTACTGAAGTAAACAAAGGAGTCCAATTGAGGCTTCAGGCAGGGGGGGAGTGTGTGCTTTATTCAGTGGGAGAGGAAGCTCCCTTCAAAGAGAGTTTCACCTTAAAAAATCCATGTTTCTCTGATGCTGCTTGCCTGGCCCTTCAAAGCATTTAGCCAGCTTGTTTCTCTGTTAACTTAAGATCAAGATGTTTGAGGACTAAAATCCTTTATCCAGTTATAATAACAATTAAAAAAAAGATCAAGACCTAAAAAGTGTATCGTTAAATTGTGTCTCAACATTGAATAGAAAAAGTCAACCTCTAGAAAACAACCGCAATGTTTACGAGACGATACATCAACTTTACAGTAGAACAAATTAACTGTTTAAAGTTACAGATTTTTCAAGTTCTGTAAATTGAATAACATCGGGTAAGTCATCGAAACAAATGTGTTGTGGTCACCTTAAAAAAACGTCTTTGAAGGAACTGTCTGCCTAAAGCATGTGGCTGCTGGTTTAGAACAGACTGTTATTCAGAAATCCATGCAATTAATTTTTTTTATTTGAATCAAATACCAGCCACAAATCCCACAAATGAATATGTTGTATTTGTTTGTTTGCCCAACAGAAACCTTGTTCAGTGTTTTAGAAGAGCATACAAACCAATAAGCAGCTCTTATGATGAATTGTATGCCAAAATGGCTTCCAGTTGATTATCACTCCAATCGCACAGTCGATGAGGAAGCTTTCCAATCTACACTAAAGCAGTAACATATAAGAACAGTATGATGCTTGGTGTTGTGGACAAATGGCTTCATTGTACATCAACAGCACTGCCTGAAGACATCGTGATTCACTTTGGTTTGTGGTTTTGACGCTCATTCTGAGTGAAGGACTTTTTAGTCACAGTTGAACATTGTTCCTAGAAATGACACCGATAAATTAAGACCGTGCAAAAACCTCTGGGTTTGAAAGTCAAGAAAATAGTTTCAATCTGCATTCTCTCTAATAACAAGCAGGATGCAACTTTAAATTTGATTTGATAGAAGTCTATGTGAAAGGAACACTAGTAATCGCTTGATTTATGACCCGAGTAAACTTTTTCCAAATAAGTCTCAATTACAATAGGTGTCCTTTTATGCTTTTGGGGGTTTTGCCTTTCCTGTAGTGTGTTATATCAGTTTGGGTGCATGTAAATGGTCTGCAAAGGTTACAATTCCTTATGTTCACAGTTTTCTCTCCTGCCTGGAACGACTCCATTGGACTCCTTTGTTTACATCTGGAACATAGTGACATCACTTGCGCTTCTATTGGCTCGCACTCCAACAAATTGTACGTGATAGGCTAAAGGGCAGGACATCTTTAAGCAGTTGACCAATTGTTTTTGATCATTGTGTTTTATTGATTTAACAGTGTCAGAGAGAGAGGAGTAGAGAGGGTTTTCATGCAGCACATAGCTGAGAGACGGAAACAAACCCAAGCCGCTGCATTACATTTTTAACAAGAAAACAAAATTGCATCACCAGAAGTGACAACTGCTGTCTAGATACCTTGTCGAAGCAAACCAGGTTGAGCTGCCCACACATGTTGATCCTCTGAGGACTGATGCAGAAGATGCCAACGCGCTTCAGACGACGCTGTGCGTACACGATACCGGCCGTCATGGCTGCCGGTAAGGCCGGGGGAACGGTGATGGTGATGATGTCCAGAGATTCAATGATGATGGTTTTAGCAGGAACCTGGATGAGTTTAGGGAGAAACCATCAACGACAGAACAGGAAGAATATCTACAGGCTGATAGAATCCTTAAATCTCCTAAGGAAACACCATACATTTCAATCTGAGGTTACCTTTTTCATGATACTGAGGACAATGGTGTAGATGAAGCCGATCCCCGCCACCCCCACCAGACACAACAGGAAAAGGTATGCATCGCGGTACAGCTTGAAGTCTGTGGGTTTTGGGTGGAGGATGGAGCGGACAAGTTGGCCTTTCTCTGTACTGAAGCCTGTGGGAACACACAATGAATGACACGTGTAATCACTTGCATGTTTAAAGTTATTTTAATCATGATATTTGGAAGTCTTTTTTCACTGCTGTCTCACCGGTTCTGACCACAACAGCCTCCACCAGTTCTCCAGCGTAGAAGCGTGTCTGGATAACGTGTGTGCCGCAGAACAGCGTGTGTCTCTTGTGCTCCTCCGTGCTGTAGGTCCATGCCGCATCCTCGCCTGAACTCGGCAGACTCGTCTTGGTGACAGGCACGCTCTCCCCTGAAGATGGAAGGAAAGTTAGTCTCCAATAAAAAAACAAAGCTTAAAAAGAAACAGCTGCCGTGTAGCGTGTGAGGACTATATTAAAATACAATTATTGTTCAATCAAAATACAATATTTTGTCAAGAAAGTTGCCATGCAAAAATGCTTTCTTTCCCTTTTTTTAATGAATTTCTCCGTTTTTAGTTTAATTCTGTGTCAGATGCTCCACTTTTAAATCTGCACATATCTTTTTCCCACGTCTTATCTTTCTAATGTTATTTTCCTTCTATTTCTTACGTAGTTTTTCGGTATTTATTTCCCATTGTACTTGTATTGTTGTGGGGTAAGTAGATAAGTACTTGATAGTACATGAATCCACTTGGTTAGAATGTTTATTATATTTGACCATTTACCAATTTATATTTTAACAATACCAACGTTTATAAGTGAACTGTAATTGATATCATGATTTCACTGAGAAAAATTAAATAAGAGAAATAGTGTTAATCACTTTTGTCATGATGTATTCTGTTATCAAGAAAAAAATGAAGAAAATGAAGACCAGTTCTTTATTTTGTCTGAAAAAATAAACTAAAGAATTAGACAGTTCAGATGAACATAAAAAAACAGCAGTTAGACAATATTTTTTAACTCAAAGTCCATTTACTAGCTTTTCCTGGGACGTTCGACTAGAAAACTTCCTGAATACTGAGAAAATCCCTTTCTCAGAAGACCCTGAGGTGTAGGGAAAAGCTCCAGGAAAGTCTAAGAAGTAGACATTGGGTTAATATTGGTTTTTGTTCTAGAATATAAGGATATACGACCTGTCAGCATGCTCTCATTTACAATGCAGGTCCCATGGATGAGCACAGCATCGCAGGGCATGACCATCCCATTGGCTGGGATAATGATGACATCACCGGGCACAAGATCTGTTGACATGGCCTGTTCAATTTCTAGGAACAAGATTCAAATAGAAAAAAGTGTCATTAATTTAAAATATAAAATAATGCACATTACTATATCATATTAAACCAAAAACACCACCAACACAATAAGACATCCGTCATTGCTGAATGATCATTGACAGTCTTGTTTTCACGAATAGCCAAAATAAAGTAGAACATGCCTTTATTCCCTCTGCACACTGAAACACGGACCACGCTGTGTGTTGCCACCATGTCATGCAGCATCACATATTGCTGGAAAATAAGAGACAGCGTATCAAAAAAGTTCAAAACATACTTCTGGAAGTACACAAGCAGACGAAATGATGAGTTCATACGGCGGCTAAAGATTATTAGTGTTTTTGCCAAAGAGGCTCAGTTTGTCTGTCAGCAGATACACACTTTATGGTTCAAATGCGTTAACATAGCGAGGCATTTGTGTTGCATTCATGTGGTATTGGAACAATCGGAACTAGTAATGCCTCCTTGCTGTTTTATGCCTTTATCAATCAGTGTATGAAAGGCAAAAGTCATTGTTTTGAGAACACAGTTCATCCTTGATTCCAAGTGTATGTTTGTGCCAAATCTTAGGAAAATACCTCCAGGCGTTCATGAGATATTGTGTTTACAAGAATCGAACGTAGTATACTATAGGTTAAGCGGAGGCATTGAAAAATTCCAATGAACACCCAACAACTCGGAAAACAAATATCAACATCTTCACTCTGAGCATTCAAATACAACACAATGTCTGTTAAGGGTCAATGTTGTCCGCACATTATGACTTAAAACTGATCAAACACACCAAAGTTGGAGCTTCCTAACCCAGAAATGGGACCATCTGATTAGCATGTGAATGCACCATTAGGCTCCGCCTTCTGCTTTTCAAGTTATGGAATAAGAATATTAAGGGGATTCCCCCCAAAGTTTTTCATGACTTACCTTTTTAATGGTGTACAGAGAGGTAGCTATTGAAATCACAGACATGAAAACTATGGCTGTGGCATAATAGTAGTAGTCCTCAGCACTCCACAGTATAACACTGAAGAGCTGGAAGATGTAAAAAGGATTTAAGACCTGGCGAAGGAACAGAAAGAAACTCGTCAAAAATGTGCATTAATGATGTTAGTATGATAAAAGCAGTGCCAGACTTGATATAAGACAAAGAACTCACCTCTTTTATGAGGAGCTTGAACAGAGACGGCACTCTTACAGCAATCTCATTCTCCCCGAAAAACAACCTCCTGGTAAAAAAAGAAAAAACAATAGAGTATGATGACATGGAGAAGTGCATATTCTGATGATTCTGCCACAGTTAATTGGAATACATTTGACTTTTAAATATTGGTTATTGTGATGAGAGAATAATCTGCAGGAAAGATGCTTGCATGTGTGTACCTGTAGTCCTGCAGTGTTTTAGAAAGTCCAGAGCTGTGGTCAGAGTGGATGCTCATGCAGCTCACCTTCACATCCTCCAAGCCTCTAGAAAAGGCACAAACATTCATTTCATGAGAATAATACATACAGTACCAAGTATTAAATAACACACTTTTTTACAGAAGCCCTGAAAGGCCAGCAAGGAAAAGAGATTGAAGTCTGTTCTAAATAATTGTGTTTTGTTCTGTGTTAGTTGCTTGATAACAGGTGAAACTATAATGTTTTAACAAGGATAACCCTTCTATGCTCATGTTTTCCATCTGTGAAACAGGTCAAAAGAATCTGTCAGGATCATTTTTGATATTACTTTCTTTTTCATCTGTGAATGCGAGTGATATTTTGTTGCGTAGTTTTGATAATCCTTTCGGCCACAAGATTACTATAGTACTTCATGTTCTAAGTAGGACTTAAGAACTGATTAAGAATGAACATTCCATTGCAATATTCAATAAACACCATCAAATTATATATCACATGGAGAAAAAGTTTGAAATGATCCTTATCCAAGAGACCAAATTTCTCACTAAAACTTGTTTTTCATTAAATAATTGGTTTTAGTTCACTTTTTTCACCAATTTCCAAGAATATTATCCTGACAATTTTTCTTACCTGTTTCACCAATGAAATAAAATCACCTGTTATTCTCTTAAACAAAAAAAGTATATATAGATGCAAATGATATAATGTATCAGCAGAAAAAGATCTTCCTTGATTGCTTTCCAGGGCTTCCATACATTTAGTTTGTTCAGCAAGAAGATAACACATTTTCAAATAAAAGCGCATGGTGTTTCAGAGGGACTCTTACATATAGAACTCAAAGTTCTGTATCATATCGTTCCAGTAGTATTTGGTGCTGTGGTGGGTGAAGTAGAGGATCTACAGTAAGAAAGGGAGAGACATATTTAGATATTGTCTGTGGGACAACCATACATAGGAGCAACAAATAATGTCAAAAAGCAGCAACAGTTTCAAAATGAGGCACCTGAACAGGCTGTCTATATTTCCCATGATGCTCGTCGTGCACAGCGCTGATGCCGTAGTCTCCGGCTCCGTTCGGCAGCTGAGCTGTGGACATCAGATCCAAGCTGTCGAAGGGTTCCTTCCCTGGAGCCAACATCACGTGTACTTTGGCTCGAAACCACTGACTGAACTCATCCTGTTTAGCAATATAAAGAATAGCTTGTTTTTCTTGGCTGTGAGATCACTCTGAATTCATCATCAGTAGGAGGCGTGTGGTGCAGTGGGTTGTGCGTTGGTGTTGGGATCAGGGGGTCACAGGTTCAAACCCCACTGCAGTCAGCATGTCGTTGTGTTTGTTTGTAGCCTTTATTTAACCAGGTGAAAGCCCCTTCAGATCAAAAGATCTCTTTTTCAAGCGTGACCTGCAGACCTGTTGTGTCCCTGAGACCCTTCACCCTAAATTGCTCCTGTGGGGATTGCCCACAGTATTGACTATGTAAGTTGCTTTGGATAAAAGCGTCTAACAAGTAACATGTAATGTAATCAGTAGAGTAGTACAGTGTTTGCCAAAAGAATGTAATACATGTCAGGATGATTAGTGACCAGCAGCACAAGGTTAGCACAAGCTAGAGTAAATCTCTTTTTTAAACTTACTGTATTAAATTATCTGTTGTGACCTTTTGGTATATTGACAATAAGATAAGAGTTGTGACCTTTTGGTATATTGACAATACAAGTCTTTTTCTATCTGTTGCCAGCCAAAAATGTTCGTCATCCCATGATCAATCCAAAACAGAAGCTATTTTAGTTGGCACACCAAACCAGGTCCAGTCATCCCCCATAACCCACATTACCTTTTCTGGACAAAACATACCCCTCTCCACAGCAGTTAGCAACCTGGGTGTAAGATTTGACAGACATATGACCTTTGACACTGTGAAGCTGACTGTTGAGCAGCCCGACCAAGCAAGGAGGCAGAGGCAGAACGTCCAAAATACAACCCGGTGTGGGCATTTATTACTCACGGGCACATGACACAGCCTCAATCTGCTGTTCACGTGAGCACAGTCAGCAGCCACAAGGATCTCACACACCCCAC